CACTGTCTGTGGGGTCATATTTCTATTCCTTCTAAACATTATGTATCCTTTCATGTGTTTGCTATACAAAACATCCTTTCACGTGTCTGCTTAAGGAAAACATCCTTTCACCTGTGTGCCCCAAATTGACTTTTTCTGGTTAGAAGTTTCTACTTCACAGTCCAGACATTGGCACAAAACCATTTAAAAGTACTAACAATATACAGAAATAACTATAATTAAGCAATATATGTGTGTGTGTGTATGAGTTATAATCCATAATTTCATTTTCTAATTCCAGAAAGGGCTTAAAAGCAATCACATACCAGTGGTATTCAGTCCCCAGATCTTGGTTTAGAAAATAACTTTCCAATAAAAGAAACAAGGTCTCATAAAAATGGCTGATTCCAGCATTGGGTCTAAGAATATATAAAATGAACCTGAAGCATGTTTATAGGGTCACAAAGTAAAAGAACACTCAGAAAAGAAAAATCAAGTATTTTGAAAAGACACTGAAGCCTACCTAGCCAATAAGACAACAACAATAACACTGTATAAAGCTATAATCCAAAGTACACAACCAGTATCCCTGAGTCCATATATACACAAGTGGACGAACGATTGAATGAATGATGAGAAGAGATAAATCACTCAAACAAAAATCCCAGGGGTGGAGATTTAATTAAGTTGTCAGAGCACTGGCCTACCATGTATAAGGTCCAGGTTTCAATCCCCAGCACTAGGGAGTTTCCCTCCCTAATAATAATTTATGTAGAGATTCATCCCATAAAACTAGAGATTAATTATCACCCCTTAAGTACAAACTACTGGTACAATTTCAATACACATACATTTACTAAAGGAAACAAAACTTGGGACATGGGGCTAGGGGTGCAGTTCAGTAAAAGAGCACCATCTGACTAGCATGTGGCCCTGGGATTTGGTCCCTAGCATTACAAAAGAGAAAAAAAGAAAAGAAAAAACACTATTGTACAAATCTATTTATCTATGATGTAAAGAAAAAGAAAAAAAAGGCATATGTATGGAGGTCAGAGAACAATTTGAAGGAATCAGTTTTCTCCTTCCTAATTATGGCACCTGAGATCAAATTCAGAACAAAAGGCTTGGTGGCAAGCGCCTAACCCACTGAGCTGTTGAATCACCTCTCCCCTTTACTTCTTAGAATTCTCAAAGTAGAAACTCAAACGACTGAAAACACAAAGAAATGTTCTTCAGGGTTACATATATAAAAGCTATTTTAAGATTTTTATCTTACACGCATCAGAATAGGTAAGATCAATAAAACAAGTGACACCTCATGCTGGGGACAATGTAGAGTAAAGGGATTTATCATGGATTTCTGGTCGGAATGCAAACTTGTACAGCCATTATGAAGTGTAGTGGTTCCTCAGTAAGACAGAAATCAATCTACCTCAAGATTCAGCAACACCACTCTTAGCCATACACCCAAAAACAACAACAACAACAACAACAACAGTAGTAGTAGTAGTAAAAGGCCATTCCATTTTTCTATCAGACAAGCTGCTTCAGGATGGTGGAGAACATGGTAAGACCAGTGGATTCCATGATCGTGGGCCCACTGTCACAGTTCTTTGGCTGTGAAGTGAGTTCCTTGGTTAGAAGCAATACTGTCTGGAATACTTAGACAATGGATAAGGCATTCTGTCAGTCTATGGATGGTGGTTTTGGCAAAAGCATTACATGCAGGAAAGGCAAGTCCATAACCAGAATAAGTATCTACTCCAGTAAGGACAAATGGCCTTTCCACGGAAGAAGTGGTACAATGTAATCAACCTCCCACCTGTTGCTGGCTGGTCACTTTGAGGAATGGTGCCATATCTGGGGCTCAGTGTTGGTTTCTGCTGTTGGCAAATCTGGCACTCAGCAGCAGCTGTAGCCAGGTCAGCCTTGGTGAGTGAAGTCCGTGTTGTTGAGCATAACCTCCATCTTGGCCACCATGGCCACTTTGTTCATGTGCCCATTGAGCAATGACAGGGACAGCTGGGGACAGAGGCTGACTGTCCACACAACAGGTCATCTTACCCACTTGATTATTGAACTCCACCTCAGCTGAAGTCATCTTCTGGTGACCATTTACATGGGACACAAATATCATCACATCCTTTGCCCACTTGGAGAGATCTATCCACATACTTCTTTCCCAGATGTCTTTCTCAACAATTTTCCAATCGTGATCTTTCCAAGTCCCTGACCATACAGCCAATCCATTGGCTACAGCCCATGAGTCAGTGAACAATCGTACATCTGACCATTTCTTTTTTTTTTTAATTTATTTATTTATTATATGTGAGTACATTGTAGCTGTCTTCAGACACACCAGAAGAGGGCATCAGACCCCATTACAGATGGTTGTGAGCCACCATGTGGTTGCTGGGAAATGAACTCAGGACCTCTGGAAGAGCAGTCAGTGCTCTTAACCACTGAGCCATCTCCCCAGCCCACATCTGACCATTTCTTCTTCCAAACAAACTGCAATACCATGTGTATTGCCCGAAGTTCTAACCAAGATTTTCCTTCCCCTGTATCTTTCAGGGTTGTCCTAGAAAGGGGTTGTAACGCTGCAGCTGTCCGCTTCTGGGTGGTGCCTGTTTAACATGCAGAGCCATCAGTAAACCAGGTCCTCGTCTCCTCTTCTTCAGTCAGCCGATCATAAGGAACGCCCCATGAGGCTATAGACGCATGCTTAGCAGCAGATGGCATTGTAACAAGAGTGGAAACCATAGGCATTTGAGCAACTTCTTCACGTAACTTGCTGTGCCTTCAGGGCCTGCTCAGGCCTGATCACGTGTATACCACTTCCACGTGATCATAGACTGCTGCTACTGTCCTACTTTATGACTTGGAGGGTCTGATAACACCCAGATCATGATGGGCAGTTCAGGTCGCATGGTAACTTGGTGTCCTATTGTCAAATGTTCAGTTTCCACTAAGGCCTAATAGCAGGCCAAGAGCTGTTTGTCAAAGGGAGAATAGTTGTCTACAGATGATGATAGAGCTTTGTTCCAAAATCCCAAAGCTGTCTTCTGTGATTCACCTACAGGGGCCTGCCAGAGGCTCCAAACAGCAACCCTATCTGCCACTGACACCTCAAGTACCATTGGGTCTACTGGATGATATGGTCCAAGTGGTAGAGCGGCCTGCACAGCAGCCTGGACCTGTTAAAGAGCCTTCTCCTGTTCTGGGCCCCACACAAAGCTAGCAGCTTTCTGAGTCACTTGGTAAATACGCCTGAGTAACACACCCAAGTGAGGAAATGTGCTGTCTCCAGAATCCAAATAGACGCACTAAACTTTGTGCTTCTTTCTTGGTGATGAGAGGGGCCAGGTGCAATAACTTATCTTTTACTTTAGAGGGAATATCTCTGCATGCCACTAGACTCCTAAGAATTTCACTGAGGTAGATAGTCCTTGAATTTTGGTTGGATAAACAGTGTTTATATCTATTTAATCTATATCTATATCTATTTATAGATATTTTAGATAATTTATATCTATATCTATTTAAAGGATATATCACAAAATATAAAGCCAGTGGTCTTTATGTTCAATATGCTATATGCATGCAGAATCTTACTTATATAAAACTAAGCTAGCTCTCATTGCAGTCATGAACAAAGTGTCTCTGCTGTGGTGGCTACAGTTTCTATGAACTCTGTGTGCAAATCACTAATACTGCAGAAAGTTATGAGGAACTATCATCCTGAATATGAACATCTGAAGTACTCCCTGGGAGCTGCACAGAGTGAGCATCAGAGAGAGTGACTATCAGACCTTTAGAAAGACATGGGCTTGTGGACTTGGCCTGGAGACTGCCGAAGACACGAGCTCCTGCGCTAGGACCTTCAACCTCGATCTCCACTCAAGAGATTTTACATGAAAAGGATGAAGAATCTGACACTGACATTCATAACACTGACCACAAAGTCACAGAGGAAAGCCATGAGGACCAACATTTCAGAATTTCACAAGGATCAATGGAACAAAACTAAAAGAAAAACAACTGGATAGCTTCCATTGCCTTTGGGAAATCTCACTTGTTCTAGAAATCTGAAATTCTGTATCTCTATACAAAGAAACTCCTCAATGTGATTCCAGTTTTCTTCTACAGAGTAGCTTCTCTTGTGAGAGAAATCAAAAATGAAGTCAGAGTTAGAAGACGTGGAGCTGGTAGACAAATTCCAAGGCTCTGCCTTGTGTGTATGCAAGGAAGGATGCTCACTGCTCTGGAAGCTGATTACTCTGCAGCCTAAAATTTTAAGTTCTGTCACTTGAGCTCACTTCCTGTGAATAGAACAGAACTTATCCTAATAATGAATCTGGGTCTCTACCAAACTGGACCCATACACCCAGCTCTCTTAGCATTGTGTACTTCAATGAGTAATTTCCAAATACAGTTAAAACAGCAGGTTACTCTGACATATCACCTAGAATAATTAATAAAAATAAACTAAGAGACTAGGCATGGTGGTGCATGCCTTTAATATTAGCACTCAGGTGAAACAGGCAAGCAAATCTCTGAGTTCCAGACTACCCAGAGCTACAGAGCTACAGTAAGACTTTGTCTCTAAATAAATAAATAGGCCAGTAAGATAGCTTAAAGGGTACGAATGCTTGCTGCTGAGCCTGATAAGATAAATTTAATCCCCAGAACCTACATGATGAAAGGGTAGAACTATCTCCCTCTCTCTGAACCCACAGGCATATGATAGTATATGCATGCCTCACACACACAAATTAAATAAATATGTAACAAATAATGTGGCATAAGTAAACAAAGTATAAACACTTCCAGTATAAAGGGCAATATGTATAGATGTCTATATTGAATACCAACCAAAGGCAGAAATCTTAGCATCCTTAATAGGAGAGGTACTTATTTTAGGATTACAGAAAAGAAAACAAATCACTTATTACCATCTTCCTATTTTCCTGTTTTAATATATATATTTTTTTTTCTCCCATACCTTGTATTTACTTTACCTGTATGAATTAACATCTGCAAACATTCTACAGCATTGTGATAAGCTGCTTCATGAATTGGCATCCATCCCCTGTTATCAGCAACATCCACACTTCGACCTTTTTTGAGCAGTTTCCTTAAAATTTTAACATTGCCTTCTCTGGCAGCAAGTCCAACTGTAGAGCATGTGTCTGAGTAAGCCTCTGTAAAATCCATCCTTTTGATCAGTCTATAAAACAAGGCAGAAAGACAGTGCTACTGTCAGTAAAATAACACTAAACTAGATATCATTCCACCACAGTGGATCTGTCTTGTATTTCTCACATGAGAAAATTCGAGAAACTCTTCTTATGCCACACGCAGCGTCGGATACAGTCCAACCTGCATGTCTCTCTCGTCCAATCCTAGCAATATTGTTTAAAATATCAAGGGAGCTTTTACTGTTCTATCTTTCTCCCTCTGAAAATGCCTACCAGATCTTTCCAGCAGGCTACCTATTCACACCACACCAAAGCAGAGTCTACTGCTAAGAGAAGACTACCACTTGTGAATCCCATCTTACTACTCTTTGTAGGAAACAGCCAAACCCCAAAAGGCCTTTTAAAATAAAAAGAAAGGATGGTATGGTGTTGGAGGGATGTTTTCTTACTCTTGTTGGCCCTTTCAGGAGCTCCATCCTTGAACACATCCCACTGAATGAAACCAGCAAAGCCGACAGACAGCAGTCTTCACACACAAGTGTAAGGGTGTCATCACACTCACCTCCCTTCAGAGCTCGTTTCATGGTCTCTAGCAAGTCAAAGCCCAGACACAGATCTCAGTGTAAGACTCACAAACTAGTCACATATGTTGGGCGGAGATTTCAGGATTCTCGGGGGGATCCAGATGTCCCAAGGAGTAACCTTCTCAGCCCTATCCCCATCCTACTTTTTAGTTTTCCTAATAGCCCTTGGGGGAGGAGGGTTGTCAGAAAATGCCAGCATATCTAGCCCAATACTGATGAAAAACTTTCTAGAAACATATTCTAAGCAATTTATCAAAAACAAAACAAAAAAAAAAAAGGTTTAAGGAAAGACATTAAAAACAAGTATAAAATAGATTCAATAGTAAATTTACACTTTAATAAATTTAAACTTATGCATGGTCACCTTTAAAATAAAACTTAAAACTTTAAATGTAGAAGTTCATTCTATAGCAAGCAAACTTCTAATGTCTGCTATGAATAAATTAATCTCATTGGGTCAAATGCTCCATTAGAGTAAGTGAATATTTATTACCAAACACACATTAAAAATTTCAATTAGCAGTCATTTTTTAAGCACCAGTTAAGTGATCAGCAATGAGGACGACACAGTCTCACAGATGCTGTGTCAAGTTGTTTACAGTCTCATAGGAAAGATAAATATATGTGATTCAATACAGAAAATGTACATTATGATATGAAGTAAAACAAAATGAAAACCATATAAGCTAAAGAAGAATCTACTTCTCCTTGGTGCGGGATGTGAGTTGTCCCATACACTAACAGAGAACATTTCAAAATGAGACGACAGGCACAAAAGCATTCCTAGACAGAAGGAAAGTCATAAACCAAAGGGAAGCGAGTAAGCAAGGGGAAGGCACAATGAGTAAGCGAAACAGCTCACTTAGGAGGAAGGATTAGATAAACAAACAGCAGTAGAAAAATAAGACTACAGAGGTAGCTTAAGGCCAAACTGGAAGATAGAGAAATGGTAATCTATACTGAATCTTGCTAACTTCTTGCCAAAATAATTATATGTATAAATGAAAACAAATAACATATTGATAATGTAGTAAGTGTGTTTGCTTAATAAAGGAAAATATATTTCTATCCTGAAAACACACACAAGGGTATAACTATAAAAATATTTAGAGAACACCATTTGGGCAAAAATATGTAGCTATGATTCCCTTTCCAATGTACTGGCTTCTCTCTTGGTTACAAATAATGTTAGTGGATTCAGAACAATATATAATAACTTGAAGAGATAAGAGCACTTATAGCAATATCTCTGAGCTCTGTAAAAGAAAAACAAGTCCGGAAAAAATATGCTATAAGAACAGCAGCCTTGCCGGGCAGTGGTGGCGCACACCTTTAAACCCAGCACTTGGGAGGCAGAGATAGGTGAATTTCTGAGTTCCAGGCTAGCCTGGTCTACAGAGTGAGTTCCAGGACAGCCAGGGCTACACAGAGAAACCCTGTCCCCTGTCTCGAAAAACCAAAACCAAAACCAAAACAAAACAAACAAAAACCAAAACAACCCAGCAGCAGCCTTCCTTTCCATCTCTAACATCAAAATAGTCAACATAATCCATTTGTAAGACATCATCTTTACAATTCTCTAGTGACTCCAGAACAATTTGAAGATAATTGAGGAAATATGGATATGATAGATACTTGATAATACAAATTTTAATAATTTTCTTATATTTTCAAAGACATGTAGAAGAGTATTTAGTAGTAAAAAGTTATAACACATGCAACTTACTTCAAATGCATTAGCTGTTGGTAAATATTCATGACACGTTTACCATGGAAGGTACATGAATAGTAGTTACACTATTATAAGCTTTCCTGTGTATCTGAATTTTTCCAAATGAGGAAGATATTTAAGAAAAATGACAGCAAAAGAGGCTAAGAAAAAATAATTATGCCAGACATTGTGAAACCACAACTCAGAAAACCTATGGAAAGGAATGTTTATTCTTAAGCTGAGCTTTCCTTTGTAGCAGCTTCTGTTGACTGCTTTTCAAGGAATAGTCTCAGAGCCTATGTGTATTAGCATTCCCCTCTAGTAATGCTAAAGAGCAGAAACAGAACTCCTCACAAATGAGCAATCGCCCAGCAGTTCTAGTCTCATAGCTCCAGAAAGAACCACGATGGTTAAGTGAGACATAGAACTAACTCAACAGATGCTAGTATTTCTTAGGATGTTTGACCTCGTGGAGAGATGCATGAAACAAGTTTCTCCCCAGGAAAATTCACATCCAAGCCAATTTTTTTTTACAGTTTCAGCAGTTATCTCTTCAGCTCTTTCAAAAGCCTGTATAGGCTTCTGAATAGGAGTATATGAGTTCAGTGTTAGTTCAGTGTTAGGAACCTTTACCTAGAGTGTGTATTTTAAAAACCCTTACAACTTGCCGGACAGTGGTGGCACACGCCTTTAATCCCAGCACTTGGGAGGCAGAGGCAGGTGGATTTCTGAGTTCGAGGCCAGCCTGGTCTACAGAGTGAGTTCCAGGACAGGCAGGGCTACACAAAGAAACCCTGTTTCAAAAAAAAAAAAAAAAAAAAAAGTCCTCCTGAGCCATCCAAATTAAGTGTTCCGTAAAGAATATTCATTATCCTCAAAGTTTTTCAATAAACAAAACAGCACCCATTCATCTGAGAAAAGGATTCTATATATAGCACTCTAAAAACCATTGGTGAAGTATATGTAATGGGAGAGTGCACCTGCTCTTCTCTGAGCCACAGAGATTAAGAATGAATTGTTAGTTTAAATACGTGGTAGGTTTCAAAAGTGGGAAAAATGGCCAAGGTGCCTATTTAACATCAAAGTAGACACTGGCTGCCAAGTTCTTCCTGCATCCTTCAGTCCCTACCAGTTTCAGGACCCTCCCTTCTGGCATACCCCACCCCCTACTCTAAACTTTTCCAGCCCAAGGGCTGGGCTGCCCTTCTACCTGCGGCCCTTCCTTATATAATCCAACCAAATCCCCTTTGGCTTTCTGGCTGCTGCACTTGGTTCCCCTCTCTCATCTCCCCTTTCCCTCCCTCTTCTCCTCACACGGCACAGCTCCTTTTGTCCACTGTGGACTCGTCTAGGTGTCTCTGACTGTATGTATAAAAACCTCTCTCCTCTACCATACCTAGGCGTAGTCATATTCTTTTCCTTTTTTTCGGTAAGCAATTTCCATTAGAATCCAGTTGCTTTTTTATAGACATAAAACTACTGTTGTAAAATTTCTGCTACTATTTGAAAGGCAAAGGACAAAGGATTTGGTCATACAGATATTATACTTCCGGGATCTGCTACTCCGGCTGCTGTTACATGTGGGCAGCTAGCCAATTTTCAAAACTCAACAAAATGCCTACGTGCTAACTGTGGTGCCCATACGTGTGCCCTATAAGACAGGAGTCCCGCCTTTTCTCCTCTTTCTATTCTCACTAGGAAAAAAGGTGGGAGGGATGCTGCTCCAACTCGAGTCACAAATCTCTAAAGAATTGTGGGTAATGTAGTCCTCTGCCTCCCATTCCCTACCCCCACCCATCCCGCACCGTAGAAGCTGTGAAAACCCAGTGTGCTTTGCGCTGTACATTAGGCGTGGCCAGCGAGCCTGGCACTGCCCCAGCAGCCTGTTACTCCCCTCGGTAGCAGTCTCGTTCGGAAGTCCAAGTTCCGGTCAGAGTCTAGAAAAATGTGGGTGTTTGGTTATGGATCCCTCATCTGGAAAGTGGACTTCCCCTACCAGGATAAACTGGTTGGTTACATCACAAACTACAGCCGGCGCTTCTGGCAAGGCAGCACTGACCACCGCGGGGTCCCTGGCAAGGTAAGGAGCCAGCGCCACAAGCTCACCTACCCAGCAGAGCACTGGAACAGGATAAAGCTCTCCTCAACTTTGTTGGCCACCTGCCCTTGCCTCTCTCCAGGACTGGACCGACATCCTTAGGCCGCATCAGAAGCCAGTAATTAGTTTCTAAAGCAGAAGGCACAGGCACACGAGCTTGCCCAAGGCTAAAGTGGCCAGGACAGCACCCTTATCTTGGCAACCTTTGCCACCCCACAAAATAAAGTTGAATTTTCATGTAAGCACATGATTAGTGTGTAAATTCGTTGATATGTCTACATTATGCCAGGTTTTTACTGGTCTGAATTTACATGTGCCTGTAAATTTCCAATTTATGTTTCCAATGTTTTCGTTTTAAAATGCCTAAGATCACGAAAGGACTAGTTTCCAAAGTCATTTCCAATTTTTATGCTCATGGTGATTATTTTGATCACTCTGAGTAATACAGTGAAAGTCTCCATTACTTTAGTGGTTCCTTCTCCATAGTTCTCTTGAATTATTAATGTAAATACAAATCATTTGATCTGTTTTTCAGTTGGAGTTCAGAGTGTCAGAAGCAGCTCACTGTTTATCAAACCAGCTTTGCCTTGGCTGCAAAACAACTAATCTGTGAAAAAATAAATAAAACAAGTATGAAGTAACTAGTAACTTGTTTGGTTAACGTCTAACCTTTGGAGTACTCGTTTTGAATGCAATGCTTATGTGTTCTCTAAAATACTCTTAAAATTAGCCTAGTCTGTTGGTACAGGTTTGTAATCCAAAAGAATATCACAAGTTCAATACCTGCCTGGACCTCCAACTCAGAAATTAAAAAGGAGCTGGGGATATAGCTTAGTAGTAGAGTTCTTACCTAGCACATGTAAGGCCCTGAGTTCAATTCCCAGCACCATTTAAAAAAATACTCTACAGCATAATATTCTGAAATACTGGAAGCCAGGTATCAGAAGAGATTTTAGGAAGGGGAAGATCACGGTTCTGAACTAGTTTGTACCTGCTCCAAAGATAAAGGCTTTAAATCAGGAAAAGCATCTGAGTTAGACCCACTCTAACTATAGTTTGTCAGTTAAGACTTAAGGTAGACTTTCCTGGCCTAGTGGAACCCAGACAGAGGGCAAATGTTTACTTACGCCAACAGAAACACCATAACCAAAGAATTACCAAGACTATTATAAAACAGTATTTAAGGCATTAAAGAATTAAAGCAAATAAAATTATATATATATATTAAACTAAGTTTTCATTTTAATGACCAAACTTTAAGCAGGCAGGTATGTGGTTATGACTACATATTTTACTACCTAGGCTCAATCAAGGGGTATGTTTCTTACATAGCACATTAAGATATGTGTACTGTCAAGCAGACTGCTGGTAAAAACTTGTCTAATCAATACAATATTTCTTTAAAAGTCCATGGTTTGTGTTCAGGTTTTGTTGTCGGTGGTGGTGCTGTTTGTGTGTATCACTTTAAAAAAGTAGGGCCAGAGACCCCAGCATATAACGATATATGCCTTTAATGCCAGCACTTGGGAGGCAGAGGCAGGTGGATCTCTGTAAGTTGAGGCAAGAGCTACATAGTAAGACCCTGTCTTTTGGAAAATGATTCTTTAAAAGGAAAAGATAGCTTTTTAAAATTACATTTTAAATAAATAAGGCCAGTGATGTGGCTCATCAAAGGACAAAACTGACTCCTACAAGGTAGGACCTCTGACCTCAACACACAAGCCATGGCATAGGTGTGCACATATCAAGTAAATAAATGTAAAAAAGTAATAAGAGATCTATAAAAGCCAATGTTTCTTTGTGTTTCAGCTTAAGAAAGGGAGCTGCACTGGCTTAGTTTTACACCTTTCATTTAAAAACAACAAAAATATCCATCCTATAAAATTAAAGGAACTAGCACTAGATATCTTCCAAATACAGTATTCTGTTAAAGAACTAGATAAAACATCCTAACTTGACGTCACAGTTTGATTTACATTTGTCTAAATGTTAACTATCTAGACAAAAATATAGATGACTATTCCAGAACTATTCAGCAACATGGAATGACTCAGATAGTTCTTAGGATATAAACTGTGTTTTTACAAAAATATGTACCCAGTAAATTAATTCTAAGAAAACAGCTATATAGATGTAAGGCTTGTTTCATATAGTGTAGTAGAGAGAACAGTTTGCTTGAGTTTCTTCATTAGACTTCCTAGGTTTCTGTTTGTTTTTAGAGATAGAGTCTCACTATGTATTCCTGGCTGGCATTGAAGTCACTATGTAGACCAAGCTGACCTCAAACTCAGAGATCCAACTTTCTCTGCTTCCCAGAATGCAGGGAGTAAAGGCTTGTACCACCATACCTAGCTCCTAAATTTACTTAAGTGTATCTGTGTCACAAAAAAGGATTGGTTCTCAACAAAGGAAAGATTTGACTTAAGAGAATTTTCTCCAAAATTAAAATTGCAAAAAAGGAAGTTTGTTTTATTTTGTTTTGTTTGCAATAGGGTCTTCTATAGCCCAAGCTGGTTTGAAACTTGCTATATAGCAAACAGGACCATGAATTTCTGATTTTCCTTCCTCCACCTCCCAGGTACTCCAGAGTACAAGTGTATGTCATCATACCTGGCAAAGGAGTCATTTTAATTTGAAAAGAAATCAGGAATACTCACTAAATCCTTAACTTTTCTAGATTAAAAGCATTCCCCATCATCCAATAAAAACACCAATCATGACTTATTAATAAAACAACTTCCAATCCTATTCAGTTTGAAAGACCTCTTCTTAGCCACATATGCTGGTACACATTGAAATCACTGAATTCATGAGGCTGAGGCAAGAGGATTGCCACTTTGTGGCCAGCCTTGGCTATACAGCAAGACACTGTCTTGTCTCAAAAATGAAGAAGGGAAAGAAAGGGACAACTTGTAGCTCAGTTAATGTTAACCCTACTACCACATAACCTGGGGTGTGAGGAAACCTCACTCCTACATTCAGGAGATAGAGGTGGTACATTAGAAGTTAGTTCTAAATCATCCTCAGCTACACTGTGAATAGCTGGCATGCCTGGGCTAAACAAAATCCTATCTTTAAAAAAATAAATAAATAAACTAAGAAAAGAACTCTTCTTCAGTTTCATTGCTCCCTAATTTTTTTTTAAAAAACCATTTAGAAACATAGACTGCTTTTCAAAAATGTTCAAAGATGTGACAGTAAGAGTTATATAAATAAGACTTTTAAGGAAGTCAACACACCTTAATGAGAACGGTGGGAAAGAATGAGGTTCCTAGTTTAGCACCTTTAGTTTTACTCTATAGAATAGCACAACCTTGAAAGATTTAAAGCCAGAAAGCTACTCTTGGATCTCAATGAACTAGGAGGAAGCAAAATCAGAAGCAGGCAGAGAAATCTCTAAGGAGTCAACCGACTGATAGGAAAGAACCATACTGGGGTGAAGAGATGGCTCTGAGGCTCATAGTGTTCTTGCAGAGCACCCAAGTTGAGTTCTCAGCACTTAACAATGGGCAGCAAGCATGCAACTACCTGTAACTCCAGCTCCCAGAAGGATCTACTGCCCTCTACTGGCCTGACATGCACATGCCCCCACACAGACACAGTTTTTAAAATATTTACTTACTTATGGGGGGAGGGGAGTATACATAGACATAATTTTAAAAGACAAAACTATTAAGAACTGGATCAGCTGAGCAGAAGGGGAGATGAGCTGAAAAAACCGCGTGTCTGTCACCCTCAGTGCAGGTATTCTTACTCTGCACTCTATCTCTTCCTCCTTCCGTTATAATCACTATACATTTTACCCATCTGACAGTCCCAGAGTACTTCTAGCACAGCAACCACCTGCTACCCACGTGCTACAGGTTTTAATTTCCAATTTCTCTCACATTCTAATGGCTTGTTCTCATTGTTCCACTAACTTCAAGTCTGCCTTTGTTTTTTCAGCCAAAGGTCCAAGATAGGCAACTATCTACTTCTACTACTAAGGGCTTCTACCTCCACTCCATCAGCTCTGCCTCTCACTGTACAAATCTGACTCTATGCAATCTCCAGTCACCTTTCTGAATTGTGTCTCTTACATGGGGGAATCCTCTGCTATAAACAGCAATCTCGGGAGGCTGAGACAGAGTTCACCAGGAATATGTTGACATAGTGAGTTCTAGGCCAGCCCAGGCTCCACACTGAAAACTATCTGAAAAGAACAATTGATTAATTAATTAAAATACACTTAGACTACTATAGTCTTGCCAGGTAGTCTGTCTTGTATAGGAACAGTGAACAGTTTAAGAAGAAGAAGTAGAAAAAAAAGAAGAAGAAGAAGAAGAAAAAAAAAAACAATTCTAAGCTAGGCTTGGTGGGCATGTCTATAAATCTAGCACTTCAGAGGTAGAAGCAAGACAAGCAGGAGTTCAAACAAAGCCTTAGCTACATGGCAAGTTTGAGGCCACTCTAGGCTACATGAGACTTTTTCTCAAAAACAGTAAATAGATGACAGATACAATGATCAATCTAGTATTAGCCTCTAAGTAAGTCAATGTGACTTATTTTTGAGGGTATAAAAACAGCTACCTTGAAGCACCCTGTGACATAAATACAAAAGTAATGGTACCCCATAGCTACAGGTAAAAATCACTCATTCATACCTGATACCTAAGTATAGCCCAGTAGTGGTTCTGAAAGCATGAACCCAAGAGTCTCACTAAGCCCCTAGCATGCTATTATAAATATCTATTACCAGGGTCCAGCCTACAGAGTCAGATCTGTTAGAGGTGCGGTATAGCAATGCTTTAACCCACTCCCTAAGTAAAGTGCTTCTTAGGCAGATGTAGTAGAGCTTTACTCTATGACAAGTTGCTAATGTTTAGCTATTTAATGAACTTTAATTCAGAAAAAATACTTTTTTCTACCTTTTTTAAAACAGCCTGGAAGAGTTGTGACCCTTGTTGAAGATCCTGGGGTATGATATTCTTTTTTTTTTTTTACATAGTTCTAATTAAATAAAATGTTAGCTCTGTGTTTTAATAATCAGTGAAATTTTATTACTCATCACAGAAAATCTGAATTAAACTAAGTCTGGAACTCTTTTCTGTATTGGTTTTGGCGGTTTGTTTGTTTGTTTGTTTATTCTCTCTCTAGATTATATCCAGACCAGTGTCCCCTCCCTCCTCTCCTCCCACAGCCTCTCTTCCCCAATCCACCTCTCTTCCATTACCCTTCAGAAAAGGACAGGCTTCCCAAGGAGATCAACCAAACAGGGTATATCAGGTTGCAGAAAGACTAGGCACCTTCCCTAGGTAACCCAGTAGGAGAAAAAGCAGGCAAAGGAGTCAGAGACAGACCTACTGGCACTGTTAGGAGTTGCACAAGAAGACCAAGCTACCCAAATATAACAGATAAAACATGAATTTGACCTAGGTTTTAGGGTTTGTTTGTTTGGGGTTTTCAAGACAGAGGTTCTCTGTGTAGTCCTGACTGTCCTGGATTAAAAACATGCACCATCATCACCCACTGCCTGGCTTCTTTTCTGTACCAGTAGGAAAGTTACAATCAGAACACAAAAAGCAACAAAATACAACCAAATTGTATGTACGACTTCTTTTTATGACTTTTCTAAGTGAGTTTGGTGACTGAGAATTTTGTGAGCCTCCTTAATAGTAATGGGGACAGGCTCCACACATCCAGATGGTGACTAAGATCAAATAGAAGTCTTTTTTTGTTTTGCTTTGTTTTGTTTTTCAAGACAGGATTTCTCTTTATAGCCCGGGCTGTCCTGGAACTCACTCTGTAGCCCAGGCTGGCCTGGAATTCAGAAATCCACCTGCCTCTGCCTCCCAAGTGCTGGGATTAAAGGCGTGTGCCACCACTGCCCGGCCAAATAGAATTCTTAAAGCACTCTTGAAATTTGCCTGGAAACAGGTATTTTTCAGTAAAAAAAAAAAAAAAAACCAAAAAATTTCTAACTGATTTTATAAACAGCACTTGTGATTTTGAAACGAGTTTGAAGCACTTAAAACTTCATGGGCAGTACCCAGTTTCTTTAAAGTTGGGAAAAAATTATACAAAAAAAAAAAAAATCAAGTCTCACCAATACTGCCACCTGCTTATAATCAACAGGCTAAGGCAGAAGAATGAAAAGTTCAAGGCCAGCCTTGTTCAAAATGCTAGCCTCTTATCTAAAAATTAAAAAAAAAAAATCAGGCAACCATTAGTACCATTAATTATAGTTTTGATTACAAAATGCTTCCAATAGTTTATATTGGAAAGCCATCTAAAAACAGCATCTTGCAAAGAATTTAATGATCAGTAAAAACTTGATATTAGTTTAAAAATAAGACCTAATATAAACTTTTGATGGGAGGGACTTGCTGTGCTTGGTACAAATCAATTACTTATTCAAAATAAAGCATTTTGTTTACTTATTAAAAACAGCATTTTAAATGCTGTTTTTCTTAATTGTTTAATATCTACCTCTTTGAGGCACATAGAAACAAAACATTGACTTTGAAAACTACAAGATATCTTAGGTCATAAATTATCTTCACCTATTTTGATAGCCTTATAAATACAAAACAGTGTATTCTTTTCATTTTTCAACAGGGCTGTGTATGGGGTATTGCTTACAAACTACCAGTAGGAAAAGAAGAGGAAGTGAAAACCTACCTTGACTTCAGAGAGAAAGGCGGCTACAGAACTACAACAGTCATTTTTTATCCGAAAGATTCCACAACAAAGCCATTCAGTGTTTTGCTCTACATTGGAACATGTGACAATCCTAACTATCTTGGACCTGCACCTCTGGAAGATATTGCTGAACAAATTTTTAATGCAGCTGGTCCAAGTGGAAGAAATACAGAGTATCTTTTTGAACTTGCAGACTCTATGAGGAAACTTGTGCCAGAAGATGCAGATGAGCATCTCTTCTCCTTGGAAAAATTAGTAAAGCAACGCTTAGATGGAAACTAGAACCTATTTATTTGTACACACAGTCACCAACTCACCCAAAGAGGCAAGAGTTTTAGTCTTCAGAAAATAACATCAGTATAGAACAGCAGTATGTTTTAGACATTCTTACTTGAAGATCATACAATTTAACACTGTAATTGGAATATCATCTAAATTTATGATTTATTTGCAAGTGTCCTAAAATATATTCAAGAGATTTTCATAAAGGAAAAGAATGAGTTCAGGTTGTATAAGTGATTTCCTAATTATATAACATTTTAACATTTGTTCATTAGAAATACAGGTCTCTCAAGTCCAAGTGGATCAAGGACCTCCACATAAAACCAGATACACTGAAACTAATAGAAGAAAAAGTAGGAAAGAGCCTCAAACACATAAGCACAGGGGAAAATTTCCTGAACAGAACAACAATGGCTTATGTTCTAAGATCAACAATAGACAAATGGCACCTCATGAAATTGCAAAGCTTCTGCAAGGCAAAGGACACTGTCAATAGGACAAAACAGCAACCAACAGATTGGGAAAAGATCTTTACTAATCCTACATCCAATAGAGGGCTAATATCCAATATATACAAAGAACTCAAGAAGTTAGACTCCAGAGAATAAAATAACTCTATTATAAAATGGGGTACAGAGCTAAACAAAGAATTCTCAACTGAGGAAACTCGAATGGCTGAGAAGCACCTGAAGAAATCTCAACCCTGAGATTCCACCTCATACCAGTCAGAATGGCTAAGATCAAAACCACAGGTGACAGCAGATGTTGGTGAGGATGTGGAGAAAGAGGAACATTCCTCCATTGTTGGTGGGATTGTAAGCTGGTACTCTGGAAATCAGTTTGGTGGTTTCTCAGAAAATTGGACATAGCATTACCTGAGGATCCAGCTATACCACTCCTGGGCATATACCCAGAAGATGCTCCAACATATAACAAGGACACATGCTCCACTATATGTTCATAGCAGCCTTATTTAAATAGCCAGAAGCTGGAAAGAATCCAGATGTCCTTCAACAGAGGAATGGATACAGAAAATGTGGTACATTTACACAATGAAGTACTACTCAACCATTAAAAACAATGAACTCATGAAATTCTTAGGCAAATAGATGGAATTAGAAAATATCATCCTGTGTCAGGTATCCCAATTACAAATGAACAACCATGGTATGCATTCACTGTTAAGGGGATATTAGCCCAAAAGGTCTGAATACCCAAGACACAATCCACAGACCACATGAAGCTCAAGAAGAAGGAAGATCAAAGTGTGAGTACGTCGGTCCTTCTTAGAAAGGGGAACAAAATACTCATGGGAGGAAATATGAAGACAAAGTGTGGAGCAGAGACTGAAGGAAAGGCCATCCAGAGACTGCCCCACCTGGGGATCCATCCCATATACAGTCACCAAACCCAGACACTATTGTGGATGCCAAGAAGTGCATGCTGACAGGACCCTGATATAGCTGTCACCTGAGATACTCTGCCAGAGCCTGACAAATACAGAGGTGGATGTTCACAGCCAACCATTGAACTGAGCATGGGGTCCCCAATGGAGGAATTAGGGAAAGGACCGAAGGAGATGCAGGGGTTTGTAACCTCATAGGAAGAATAACAATATCAACCAACCAGAGCACCCAGTGACTAAACCACCAACCAAGGAATACACATGGAGGGACCCATGGCTCCAGCTGCATATGTAGCCTTGTCTGGCATCAATGGGAAAAGAGGCCCTTGGTTCTGTGAAGGTTCGATGCCCCAGTGTAGGGGAATGCAAGGTTGGGGAGGCAAGAGTGGATGGGTGGGGGAATACCCTCATAGAAGCAGGAGATGGGGGATGGGATAGGGAGCTTGGAGTGGGGAAAACCTGGAAAGGCGATAACATTTGAAATGTAAAAAGAGAATATCCAATAAAAAATAAATTAAAAGATTTTAATTAAAATATAAAATTTTTAAAAGTAAATAATAAAAAGGCCAATTGAGAAGATAAAGAAATATAGGTCTTGATTAACTTCCTGTTTCTTTTAGAATAACCATGGTTTGTTATAGATAAGTTTAAAATATTGTTATTAGAAATGTATGGTAAGAGGTAAGGTCCAGCACTGACTGTTAATTTCCTAGTTATTTGGAATTAAATGAACCTCAGATTTACACCAAAAAAAATTGGACTTTTTAAATATTAATTATTCCTTTGGAATTATAATATGCTTTCTTCTCCTTTGGGGTAAAAAGGTATTTTATTACAAATAAAAACTATATATAACTATACATATATCAATTCACTAATGATAATGATATTTACTCTATATTTATCTCATAATGAAACTTTAAAAGATAGGTTTTCTGGTGGAAATATAATAAAAATTGTGTTTAAAACAGATTTTACAAAAAACTATGGATGCACATGCTGACACAAGGTACGTAGAGCACATGTGATGTGTGGAGGGTATAAATAGGACTTCCTGGAGTGACAGAGACAGAACTTGGCTTGCTGGTACAGTTTGCTGAGCAATGTTTGTCTCACATCTTCGCTGATCTTCCCCTCCTTCAGAGAGGCACAGCAGAGAACTTGGTGTCACCTTCTGGTCCCTCCTGCTGTCTCGGTTAGGTTGTGCCACCACTGGCTGCTAATTCCTGTTTGCTATCCCAACTCTGCAAACAGGGCTGCTGATATTTCTGTGAAGTGTTTGTGAGTGGATCAAGCTGCCACTGCTTGCAAACCTGTGAACTGAACTGCTACTTCCCAGGCAACAAGATGGGAGTTGCTCCAAATAACCTTTCTAAACAGGTCTCCACTTCCTCCATATCCTTTCTTTCCCACTACCTCTGGTGGGCGGTGGGTTACAAGGGAGGTTAAAGCATTTAAGAACCATCATTTAAAATAAGGATTGAAAGAATTAAAGTTACAGGTATAGCTGAGTCTTGAGGTAATTCCATTCCCAATTTTCTGAGAAACTGCCAAATTGATTTCCAAAGTGGTTGTACACATTTGCACCCCCACCAGTACTGGAGAAGTGCTTGCACTTGTTCCACAGTCTCACGAGCAGGTGTTGAAATTTTTGTTTAGATCTGTACCCTGTTTTGTTTTGTTTGTTTTCGTTTTTTTGAGACAAGGTTTCTCTGTATAGCCCGGGCTGTCCTGGAACTCGCTCTGTAGACCAGGCTGGCCTCGAACTCAGAAATCCTCCTGCCTCTGCTTCCCAAGTGCTGGGATTAAAGGCGTGCACCACCACTCCCCAGCCTGTACCCTGTTTTTTAGTTGATTTATTTGGTTCCTTGATATCTAGTTTCTTGAGTTCTTTACATATTTTTGGAAGTCAGCCCTGTCAGCTGTAGAGCAGGTGAAAATAATTTCCCATTTGTAGGCTGCTATATTGCCCTCTTGACAGTGTCCTTTGACTTACAGAAGCTTTTCAGTTTCATGAGGCCCCATTTATTGTCACTCTAGTGCTTGAGATGTTGGTGTTCTGTCCAGGAAGATGTCTCCTGTGCCAATGAACTCAAGGCTATCCCCCACTTTCTGTTCTATCAGGTTTAGTGTATATGGTTGTAAGTCTTTGATCCATTTGAATTTGAGTTTTGTTCAGAGTAGCAGATATGGATTACATGCAGAAATCCAGTTGGACCAGCACCATTTGTTAAAGATGCTTTCTTTTTTCCATGGTGGAGTTTTGGCTTCTTTGTCAAAAATCGGGTATCCATAAGTGTGGATTTTCTTCTGAGTCTTCGATTTGATTCCATTGATAAAACCCACCCATCTATTTTATGCTAATACCATAGGGTTTTTTATTACTATTGATCCTTAGTACACCTTGAAATCGGGGATGGTTGTGGTTGTAATTATTTAAAAACGGTCACTGATTCAACCAACTATCTAAGCTGCGCTGGCTCTGCCTAGCTCAGCCGCGAGGCCATGTGTGCGCTGCAGCTAGAACCAGCCGGCCAGAAACACCAGCCCTTCCACCCACGAGACATCAGCGTGGGAGATGGCTCTGTATGAAGTGTATCTTTCTCTATCTCTTTAGATTAATTTTGGTTGAAAGTATATTTTATTAGACGTTAGAGTTGCTACTCCAACTTGCTTCTTGGGACCTTTTGCTTGAAAAACCTTTCTCCTGCGCTTTACTCTGAGGTAATGTCTATGTCTGATGTTGAGCTATATTTCTTGTATGCAGCACGATAGTGGATCCTGTTTTCTCATCCATTTCAATAGTCCGTATTTTTTTAACTGGGAAATTGAGTCCATTGATATTGAGCGATATTAAAGACCAATGATTGTTAATTCTTGTTATTTTGATGTTGGTGGTGGTAGTCTGTGTAGGGAGGGAGTGCATGTAGGTATGTGCACACTTCCCTTCACTTGGTTTTGCTGGTGTGAAATTATTTATTTCCTGTGGGATTTTTTGGGGGGAATGTAGTTAATCTCCTTGAGTTAGAGTTTCCTTCCAGTATCTTCTGTAGGGCTGGATTTGTAGATAGATATTGTTTAAATTTGGTTTTGTCATGGAATAACTTGTTATCTCTATGGTTATTGAAAGTATATAGCTAAGTATAGTAGTGTGGGCTGACATCTGTGGTCACTTAGAGACCATAAAACATCTCTGTCCAGGGTCTTTGGGCTTTAGAGTCTCTGTTGAAAAGTTGGGTATAATTCTATATACCCAACTTATATAGATGTGCCTTTATATGTTACTTGGCCTGTTTCCCTTGCAGCTTTTAATATCTTTTCTTTGTTCTGTACATTTAGTATTTTGATTATTATATAACAGAAGGATTTTCTTTTTTGGTCCAATCTATTTGGTGTTCTGTAAACTTCTTGTACATTTATAGCCATCTATTTAGGTTAGGGAAGTTTTCTTCCAAAAAGCTTCTACCCTTTTATTGCTAAATGAATTAAAACCAAGTTAGTAAGAAGAAGCTTTCTCCTCTCTAGTAAGACTAAGCCTGCTTTGCTGTTAAGAAAAAGATCTGTTTTGTTGCTTGGCTAGGAGAAGCCTACCTGCTCTTCCTGCTCTCTCTGCAGCTTCTTCTTTGTCCCTCTTTCTTTCTGCATTCTGTTGTATTGCTCTCCTAATGTCCAAGTTCCCTTTTAATTTTCTAAGTTATTCTACTCTGTAGTCTTTCTTCCTCCTAATCTTGCTCTCTACTCTGGCTGTGATGTAATAATAATGCCATGCAATGTAATCATTCTTGGGGTTTGTTTGGTTTTGTGCCTTTCTTAGGGGAGTAGATCACATGGTTTTTTCAAGTATTCTTTTTTTTTTTTCACTAAAAGTTCAAACATAAATTCAAATAATAAATTGAGTAAGAAGTTTACAACATAGATGTTTACACATGTTTTCAAATAAGAGTAATTATCTGGCTAAACATTAATTTTCTGTCACTGGCT